TCCCACCCACGCTCAGTTATTTAAAATTGAAACCACAAATTAGTCTACAACTCATTTAATGCTAACAGCCGACCAATGAATATAATATTCTCGAACAGGCCACCACCCCCACCATACTCACTATTCTCGAACCACCCACACCAAATTTTTTTCCGTAACAATGCACAAAATTAATTACTCCAAATTATTTTAAAACCCACTTAGCACATTAAAAACCCACCCACCACACACCACACACCAGACCTAAAAACCCACCCACCACCCACCACATTTAATCGTCTGGAATAGCCAAACACAATTATTATATTGCGACCACCCACTTTATAAATTTTTAAAATAAACAACACACATCTTTTTGAAATGAACATCACGCATAGCACAGTTTCAATCTTCAATCACAACATCCGTCTTCAATATTTATCTACTAAACTACTCTATCTTTTGCACTTCAATTATTTACAAACCCTCGTCCAAATCAACAGTTTAATACAATCGAACTACAACTTTGCTACAGAAAACACACACAACTTGTGACCTGAATAACCAAGGATGGAGAAAGGCACGTTTCAAGGAAGTATGCATACATGGTAGAATGTCCATTGAAAGATATAGGTCCATCTTCCTAGTCCTATGACCACACGGTACGCACATCTCCTCATGTTTCAACTAATCTGTTTCATACTTATTAACTACATGTTCTAATTATACGTCAACACACACTGTCAATTTTTTTAAAGTGGCAGGGGGGGAGATATCTGGACAATAGAAACAGCTAAGGTGGTTCACCATGGCTTAAAGAAGCTCGACCACAAAAAAGGTCACAAAGCCATCCCATTAATCTAACTGTTTAATTCTGTGAACAACATTTTTACCAAAAACTACAACTGATTTTAGGATCGGTCACAGCACTGTATCAATGAAGAAGACAACAAAAATCACAGAGCCACATAGATGATCAGAGTGACTTGTATATCTTGAACGGTTAGTTGTTTACCTCATTCATCTTTAATAATCTGCACTCATTAGTTATGCGTTTGATAAACACCACATATGACAACTTTATCAACAATCAGGTTTGACACAAATTTGGTTTACCCTTACATGTGCTAAATTTTAAAATGTATGTTCATTTCATACAGCATTATGGAAGCAAACATGGATACCAATCACAACAGCTTTTTCTTCAAAAGTACAGGTACAATATGTAATCCTCTCTCATATGTTATCATTTAGTGTGTAGATCATTACATTTTTTATAAACCATTTTCCACTTACAGTTAAGCAAATCAATATTTTTTTAATCAATTATGTAACTGTTACACAGTTACAAACAACATTTTCACAGTACCAGTCAACACCTAAGAACAAACATATAAATTTGACAGAATTACATTTGAATCTAGGCAGGACACTTATAAATACCTGAATGGTCGCTTTCGACCGATTATCACTGACTTGGTTAGCCTAGGCATTCACAACGACCACAGAAATAAATTAGTAACTTCTCGCTGCACACACAATTTGCCAACCTAAAATCTAGGTTAAAAAAGAAATTTATATCAAATTACAAAGCTGCATATAAATAAATAGTTTAAAGAAATCTTATTCATAACAAAAGGATGAACCACTCAAATATGGAACAGAAACATATGTATTCTGATATGATAAAAGCCATCAACATAACATTCAAAACATTAGTACTATTGACCAGCTGGGGGGCAGACACATAATAGGAGTACATTAGTCACATTTAGCACCATCCACCTCTGAACATAGCAAAACAATTCCCCTAAAGTAAAGTTTACATTTGGTGAACATTATTTAGCTAGCCAACTGAAATCCAACCCGACAACAAAATCCGCGTTGAAGTAACGCCTTAGGGCAAACTAGTCTGGCAGATCATCAGTGAGGGTCCCTGGGTCGTTTCCTGAGGCATTACCGACAGATTCAAAGGACCACCCGAGTTCAGGATCTTCATACATAGGGGACATAGGTGCCAGCGAAGGGAGTGTGGCTGTTGGAGGGCCTCCCTCAGTGCCATAATCCAGCACAATTTTTGATAACACAACAAACAAAACCCTAGATGAACACAACCACCAACATTTACAGTATGCATATCGGTTTCGGGGAACATGTAAAAACATTTTTGACACTGTCTTATAAGACAACTGCCATCCACACCGCCACCGAAATCAACAACAGATTCAAAGGACCAATTGAGCTCAGAATCCTCGTACGTAGGGGACATTGGTGCCAACGAAGTTAGCCAGGGTGTGGGGGGAGGGACACCATCAATGAGAAAATCCAACTCAAATTTTTGATAACACCAAAAACAAAACCCCAGATGAACACAACCCATAGTACACATCTCGGTTTCGGGGAACATGTAAAAACAGCGTTGACACTGTCTTATTAAACAACCGGCAGACACACCGCCACCATATTCAAAAGGTTAATGTGGCTAATTTTCTACCACAAGGATAACTGACAGTGGTAGATTTACACGGCAAGCCCATCCCCCTGCACTGTTTTTATAAAATATCCCAGTTTCAAATGTCTGGGAAATATGCTTCAATAATTGTGTTCTGCAGATTTTACAAAACCCTAATTTTCTACCACATGGATAACTGACAGTGGTAGATTTACATGGCAAGCCCATCCCCCCTACACTGTTTTTATAAAATATCCCAATCACTTTTACCATTAAGTTTTAGAAAGTGATTGCAGCAAAACGTTTAATTACAGTTGTCTTCTTTAATGCACATCCCTTTTTTTGGTGTGTGTCCTCTTCATCATTAGCCCTGGTTAAAAATTGAGAATGTATTAGTATGTTGTGAAGTTCTATTACTTTCAATGCATTTTTAACTTTTTGTCAATCGACATAATACCAACGCATATGTTATATTTATTATTACCAACGTATATTACAAATATTGTGCTTTTTTGAACATTTCGGTATTAATTTGAGTTTCTGTAATGTATGTAAATCTATCTGAACTTGAAGTATTATCAAAACAGTGCTATGGTTTTACTAAGTGCATTGTGTTATTAAAAGCTATCTGTTATTAGAGCTGCCTAGTAGAATGAACTGCCCTTGTCATGGCAGCAACTCAGGGGGTGGGTGGGTGTTGGTAGAGAATTGGATACATGATCTGTCATCAGAAATGCCCATGGATGTTTCATTTAACATTTCCTAATTAAACAAATAATTGGAGTGTACTGCGATTTCAACACTTGATGATACCCATTACATCCAAAGTTAAAGTGAATGGGAAAATTTAGCATTCTAACATCACTGTGAACATACATTTGACAAAACCCTAATTTTTGTTTAGATTATGCAGATTTTAAATAATTTGCACCCAAATAGAAAAATATTCATTTTCAGTATGATTTTTAACAAACTTTTGATAAAACTGATAGACCTGGAAAAAAATTTTGAAATGTGATTGATTAAAGTAAATAGAAAAAATGGTGAAATATCATTATGATTTAAACCATGCTTTCCCAAAAAACAGAATAAAATTAACTTTCACTCTTACTTTACACATGCTTTAACCTTTTTTCCGCACCTAAGCTTTCACCTCAAACAAAATAAGTAGTGTTGAAACTAAGAAATATTATAATAATGAATAATTTTATAATAGGGAAAAAAATATTTGTATTCACAAAAAGTATTCTTTCATCTTTATTATTATCAATCCATTTTTAACATTTCCACAATCGACATAATACGCACACATATGTTATATTTATTCATTCTTTACATATTAGATCGATGCAATGTTTTCCATCAAACTCCCATGTTTGTTATTAATGGAATATGCATTATTACAAATATGTTTGAGCTTGTTAGAGCAGTTCGGTACAAACATGAGTTCCAGTAATATATGTACTCTGCCTAAACTTTACGTATTAGCAAAATGCTACTATGGTTTTAGTAATTGCATTGTGTTATTGAAAAGTATCTGTTATCAGAGCTGCCTAGTACAACAAACTGCCCTTGACATGGCAGCAATTCAGGGAGGTGGGCAGGTGTTGGTAGAGAATTACATACATGATATGTTAACTGAACTGCCCATGGTGTTTCATTTGACATTTCCTAATGAAACCCATAATTAGAGTGTACGGATATTTGAACACGTGACGATACATATTACATCAAAACTTATAGCAAGGTTAAAAATTTAGCATTCTCAACTGCAAATCTACAAAGCCATTTCACAACACTTCGAACACAAATTTTATAAAATAGTAACACTGTTCCACACATTGTGATTTGCAGGTTCACCGTTGGCGATAAGCAAAATGTCGTCCTCAAAGCCGTCTTCATTTCTCTCTTTTTTTGTGTGATTAATTTCATGAAATAAGATGTAATAATTAGACTTAGGCTATACTCAGGATGTTCCTTCTCAAGCCCGACCACAGGTATGTTCATCCATGCTCACCTCAGCCTTTAATTTATCCACACTGTTGTTTGGTTAGACATATTTTACGAAAAATGTCCTCTATTGGGTTACAACCAAGAAGTTTTTAAGTGAAACCGGTTGAGTAGCTTTATATTTTTTCAAGATACTTGAAACTCTGAAACAGTTTATGATTTATAGATACTATTATATACCCCCGGTATTTTTTCAATTGTTGGAATTCTCAAACAGTTTACTTAATTGATTGGTTTCTAAAGCTAGATTACCTTTTTTTTTACATAGATAACAATAAGTTGTATATATGAACATATTATGATTAGGCCAAAGCACTGGGGATGGCCCTTACATGGGTTACATAACCTTTGACCGATTAGGTATTATTTCATTATCGTCCCAGATTATATAGTTGTGACTGAGAACTCCATCATTGACCAATATCCCAAGATCTTTGTCAAAGACCTAAACAGCTTTGACAAATTTATATGGTTTACATAGGTAATCCGAATAATTATTTGGCAAACCATGTTTTGTTAGAACATGGGTTCAAGAAAGATGTGAACTCAAGAGTCAAGATGACACATAAATATTTTACATTAGATCAGGTGCAAACATTAATATTGGAGTAGTATACATAAGAGACCCTACATGTGGGCCATAAACTTATATTGTAGTAGTATTATCACACAATTACATAAGAGCACTTGGGTTACGTAGAGCACACTTAGGCAGTAGTCCTTGAACGGCTAACAAAATCCAAAAAGGGAAACATTGAAGACGCCGACTACATCTATTGTAGCATACTGTCTTCTTAATATCTGCCTCCATTCTGCTTGTTTTATTTAAGACCCTTTCACAAAATACTTATTCCAATCCACCATACTCCAAATTTATTATCAAAATATATAATAGCATCAGGTTTTAGGGCCCTCGATCTTAATTCCCTTCATCTTTTTAGTTGGCATGTTTTTAGCCGGCACGTTGGATGAAGATTCTCCAAACAGGTTCCTATTGATCTTGTCAGTATCAATTTCCAGAGCGTCTCTCTTCGCCTTGTCAAGTAAGGGGCTGCTTGAATTCACCTGTTCTGAAGACACAACCTGGAATGGGCATTTTAGTTTATTTTATAAAAACAGACGCTAAAATATAAGAAAAATGACAATGTGTTTACCCTTTCACCCCCAGCAAACTCTGTTTTCAAAGCTGAAAACTCATCATCCTCCTGCTTATTCCCATAGATACATTAGTATACCTCATTCTTAAGATAAGGCCTCTAAAACCAAATAGGAAAAGTAAGATAACAAACCTCTGATGTGGTTGACTCAGTGACATAGCGTGAGATAACTCTAGGGTCAGTATTTATTCTAAGCACGTTGTAGTTCTGATTACCCTTGTAATTTTGGCTATCATGTTTATACTGAATGCGCAACAGGGCCTTGACGTCCATCAAAGCATTGATCTCGGAAGGGAAATAATGCGGCCCAAAATTTCTCTGAACCAAAATAGAAGTTGGTGTCCCAAGCTATGACCAAAAGATGAACATAAAACACTTTCAATTAAAAAACAATTTAACCTTAGTCACTTGTTCTTTCAACGATGCAGCGGATCGCCCAATCAAGCATGACACCTCTCTGTCCCACAGCAGAAAGGACGCATGCGAGGTTATATCAACCACTCGAATGTTGACTTTGTGCCTACACCCATAATATAAGTTACACCCAAAAAAATCAAGTGAGAAAAACAGTTCTTTACAAAACAACACCTCAAAACAGCGTCTGAGGAATTGCAAGAGAGGCAATGAAAGCCATCACCATTGGGAGTAACTTTTCGATTACAACCAATGCATGAAACATAACACCAGTCCTTATGGCTATCTATGTCTGCAATTTCTCCATAAATCCAGTGCTTGCCGTCCTTATTAAGACAATTAAGAAGTCAATTAGTGCTTATACAAAAAACCGAGAACATTACATACACCATTAGCCCCCATGACCAAACCTCTTCCATTTTGTGAGCTGCTCAATAGTAACCAACTGTATTTGGCCAGTGCCAATGTCACCGTCGTTAGATGTATCAGATGCAATTGTAAAGCTCAAACCGTCTCCACACCTGCTGGCCATCCTAGATTTAAATTCGTTGAACTCGCCTTCCACCCCGTTAAGAATAACCTTGGTTGTGTTAAACATGTTGGACACATGTACTTGCCCTAAATGTAGTTAAAATACATTAGCAAAGCAATATTTATTCGGGCAATAGCATGTAAAATATGTAAAAAAAAATACCGTGCTAATATTTCTTAGCACGACAGCATTGAAGCAGCATGGCTATGGGTTCACCCGTAGTCAGTTTATAAGACTTCAACATATCGACCATAGGACCCCAAAGGGTTCATGAGATCACATTGCCCCTTTTAAAGATAACATTGGAACTATTAGATAACCGTACAGTGGGGAAAGTAAACTTGAAAAAATTTGGCCAAAGAGTTACTAACTCCGTATCTCCCAGGATAAGTTCCACCAACTTTTTTGGGCGATCATTTTTTAGAATTGTCTTAGGATCCTTATCATGGACGACCTGTCCAATGATATTTGCATTGTGTCCCATTTAAGTTAGTTGACTTTCAACACAAGATGGAAAACACAATAATGTTGGATTTACAAACAAACTGACCAATCGCTGCCCTGTCATCGATAGACTCTTGGGCCTGCAACACAGCAAAGGACACCAACGAAAACGTTCTTAACGGAAATGGAACCTTGATCTCAAATGCCTCACTCTTTTTGAAGAATCGTAGCCTATACGCGCTAGTGGTGGTTTTGAAAAACATGAAAATTTCCTCAACCATAAAGTTTTTTATGGCATAAACACGTCCTTCCCTAAACAAACCAAAAAATTTGCCGATAAACTGATCCGGGATGTGCCCGTGAATCTTTGATCCCTGTGGAAAATAAAAACAAATTTACTTTGAAGAAAAAATCAAGAACAATTAAAATGGGAAAACATTTACTTCATATAGAATGAAAAGTATTTACAATACCTCTTCATCATGGAATATGACTTCCATGGACTCCGGGAACCCATCATGGGCAGGTTCTCTGTAAACCCTCGTCGCACAAGCCTTTATGTCCCATGTAGTTTTGGATTGATCAATTTGTCTAATCATTGACCACATACCCACCATTTTTAAATGAAAGCTTAGCTAGAAAGATATTAGTTTCGGAGGTTGCGGATGAAGATTGTGCTTGCATCCCCATGGTATTTAAATGGGCTGTTGAGCATAGAAACAATAAATGAGACAACATTCCACCACCCATCCTAACCAATAGAAATTAGGCAATGTCAAACACAAACTATTCACACGTACAAATGTTGAGCTGCCCACCCGGTTGAACCAATAGGAGCATTGTACTTGAATCATCTTTCACCAACTACCTTTCTCAACCACGTGCAAGAAATTTGATATCTTTCACCAACTGTTGAACCGATTGAATGGCCAATAGAAGTCGGGCACCAGGCACCAGTCACCAACTCCGTGCAATTTTAATCTCCGGGCTTGAAAAATTTGAGGACACAATTTGGATTTGCATTTTTTATGGAGAAATAACCAAAGCTTGATGTTGACATTTTTTGGGGAACACTATTCACAAAAAAGTGTTCCTTTAGATATTAATAGATTCATAATTTCATCTTAATCTACTTCAATTTACGGACAAATTTCTGTGTATCTATCATTGGTATAAGAGAAATTAGTCCTGGAGCCTGAATCGATCAACAGCTTGAGGAAGAGTATGGACAATATTGAAAGTCAATGGAAGGAGATGCGCCATATGTTGGGAAAAATTTGTCACAGACTCAAGCGACATAGAGACAGGGTGAGGAGCCCTCCTAGACAACGTCGGTTGGTTGAAAATATTTAATTGTCTTCGCGAACTGAATCGCGTAGTTCGCAAACATCTTCGCAAGCGCGGGTCTCTTCTCAGTCGCCAACACTTCCGTCCAGTTGTCTGGCTTCTTCGCGGTCTTCATCTCACAGTTCCCAGCCGCGAACTTCGTCACACAGTTCGAACTACCGAACTTCATCATCCACCAGCAGTTCACGATCAATTACGGCGCTATCGAGAGAAGCTTTCTATTCGTAGTTGTCATCACAAACGACTTTAGTTTCATCGCGAACAGTAGTTTCCAGTACTCAAATGTCATCTCAGTCGCTGACATCGTTTCATCGGTCCAGACTTCAACGCTATCATATACTTCCAGTTCACAGGGGTCTTCGCTAGCGGCTTCTCACAGCTTGTCGTCGTTGGTTGCTTCAAACTGCCTGAGAGGGAGGAAAATGGAATTCATTCGAGAAAAGTGAAAGAGCAATTATCAATGCAACTGGGGGATCAGGTAAAAATCACAGATAAAACAGAGAGGAGTATTCAATCACTTGAGTGAAAATCTGATATTACTGTGATGAGAGGAGTGCTTCGCGATAAAACATCGGATTCTCACACTTCCCAAGCGTCACCGCTCCTTTTGAAGTCTATTAACCTGCGGCAACCTTCTTGTGTTGATAGGAGTGCTTCGCGATCCAGAGAGAATGCAGAGAAGTCCAATTAGGGCAACGATGAAAGCCATGAGAAATCGCTAGCAGATTCTCTCACGTCGCAAGCTTCACAGCTCAATTTGGAATTCATTAATCAGCTACAATATATTTCTGAAGATAGGTTCATTGTGGTGATGAAGGGCCAGAGGAGAATCTTCTGTGGGGAATCAATCCTCGATTGTTATGAAATATGTATCCTCGATTGATAAATTGTTGGTCCAAATATTTTGGAAAGCTCTACAGGGCCTGTCAGTATAGATTGCTTTACCAAAACTCGAGAAAATGCAGAATATGTGATGATTGAAGTTCCGCAGGATCCTTCACGAGCTATTGGCTCTTTAATAAGAAGAGGAAGGTATAGAGATGAAGACAAGAGGGGATGGAAGGAAAAAAAGGAATGCATGAACAAACCTCAACATTGGATGGGAGAATTGAAAGGAAGGGCACCTACCACCAATGTTCTAAAAGGCGTTAGGCACTAGTCGGGCGCTAGTCGGGCGCCAGCTCAGTGCCTAGGCGGCTAGGCAGACGCCTAGTCGGGGACTAGTCGGAGACACAAAAATTGCATTTTTATCTATATTTTTGCATAAATATGATAAATAATATTGTATTTTTTGTGTGTATAAAATACATATATACATATACATTAACAAACATGAAAGATAGAATTCTCACATTGAATCATACATAGTATATGATAACTAATCACTTAACTTCATTATGGTATAAATAAATATAAATAATGATAAATTTTAGGTATATACACAAACATATATAGTTTTATCTTAATTTACAACTTCATTTCTTTATATCCATGGATAGAGTTAAAGTACGTATATCACTTAGAAAATAAAAAGTAAAAAGTAAAGTAATGTTCGGCGAATCTAGACGGCTTAGGCGGCCGATTAGGTGCTCTAGGCGGGCAACTAGGCGCCATAAGCGGCCGACTAATTCAACTAGACAGAAACCCAATTAGTCAGAGTGCCTAGACGAAAATCGGAGCGCCCGACCACCGCCTAGCGCCTAGCTAGGCGGGGACTAATCGGGCGCCTAGAACGATTTTTAGAAGAGAGTCTACCACTAATGTCGACGGAGGTACAAACAACCCATTTTTTTTATTTTAGGCTGTTGGTATGATTCCCATATCTGGAATGTGGAAGAACCTGACGGTGTTCATAGCTTAGATCCCAAAGATGATAATCCCGTTTCATTCATGCAAAGATTACCCAATTATGGAAAGGAGCTTCAGGGAATATCACCAGTTTGTATTCTTCTGCTAAATGGAGGTGTAGGTTTTGACAACCAGTTTCATATGACAAGTGTTGGTACAAAGATCAAGATTCTCTGGGGAGGAAGATTGGGACTCCTTTGATTCTGGACTAAGATGGACTGATGAGTTTGTCTTGGTAGCAATGTTGAAGGAAATGTTCAGAAAATAAAGGAGTTTGGTGCGGTTATCACTTTTAAGAAGCGGGAAACCAATACATTCATGCTTATTCTGCCTGAGGTTCATCAGGATCCGGTCCCTGAAGCTCGTTCTGTTGCTGCAAGAGCTGTTGGCTCTCTTATAGGGGATAGGAAAGAAGAAAACTTTCCAAACTTGGGACTTTGGCGGTTAGAGAATCTGAAATCGCATGGCAGCACTGTTATGCACAATTTCTGTTGGTTGTTGAAGTTTTACAAGATAAATCCTGCTATTACAAATAATGATATCTTGATACTATCTGCCATACAGAAAAGTGGATGATAAATGGAGAAGTTAGCATAAGGCTTGTTGCAGACAATGAGTTGAGTAACTTGAGTACCATCAAATCGGAATTCAGCACATTGATAGTCTCAGAAATAAGACTCCTTGAGGAGTCTCGTGAAAACAAGGAAACATTTGTAGTTAGTGAGTGCTTGAAGGCTACTACAACAAATGAAACTGCAATAGACATATCCTCTGCAGCAGCACCATTTGTGATTGTGAAGGAACAAGTACTTAAGCGTCTGGTTCAGCAAGCAATAAGGTATTGGGAAAGAAGAGGCGCAGGATGAAGAAGAAGCTGTTGGTTATGACTGTTTCCTATCACTCACCTTAAGGACAAGGTGGTTGTCTAAAGGGGGAGAAATGATAGGATCCTAGGCTAAAGGGAATATTATTAATTTATTAATAATAATAGTCATAAAATGATATTAAGTAAGTGTGGTATTGTATAAATAAGGATTCTGGGCCATTTCAGAAAAGATGGGATGGCCCGTTAGAATATAATTACTATAAGAGTGGGGGAAGGAGGGTAGAAGGAGGTAGGCAGATATTAGTTTGGGACATGTGTCTTGGGAGTGCAGGACACTACTCGAAGTGTCTCCATTATATATTTCTTTTCCAGTTCATCAATTTCATCTTAATCTACTTCAATTTACCGTCAAATTTCTGTGTATATATCAGTTTTCCTTTAAAAAATACTTGAATTTATCTTTTTTATATGATTTGCATACATTATTAATATACAAAATATCATTTTTCTCAATTTAGTAGACTAAAATTTTAAATGATTTGCATAACTTTTATCTAAAGAAATAAGACCAATTATATACATCTCGGGTGATAATTAACGACGTATTTGTATGATTGTATCTTTAAAAAAAATAAGAGTTGTTGACTTGTTGTCAAAAATGTATTTGTTTTTGGCCAAAAAATGAAATATGCATTTGGAATTAAATATAGAGCCTTACTTGCAATTCTTCTTAAAAATTTGGAGCCTTACTTATAGGGATGGACTCGGGCCGGGCGGCCCGCCCCGGAACCGGCCCGGACCGGTCACTGTTTGAACCGGCCCAGCCCGGAAACCGGGCCATAGGGCGGTTCGGGTCGACCCGTCCCGCTAGTCATACGGTTCGGGCTCGGGCCCTAGGAATGGTGAACCGGCCCGGCCGGTTCGGGCCCGGTCCGGGCCAAATTTAGTTTTTTTTTTTTGAATTTTTTTTTTAAGTTTTTGGGTTGGGTATTTTGGGTCATTTGAGGTGGTTTGGGGTGGCTTGGGGTGAGGGGGGAGGGTTGGGAGTTAATTAGGAGAAGCCAAAAAATAAATTAGATTGGACCGAGGCCCGGCCGGCCCGGCCCAAACCGGACCCGGGGGTTACCCGGGCCGGTTCCGGGCCTCCCATATCCTGAACCGTGAACCGGCCAGGCCCAGGCCCGAACCGGCCCGAGGCCATCCCTACTTACTTGCATCTATCCCCCTAGTTTTAACGCCCTACCATATCGGATTAAAATAAACAAGAACAGTTTAGAGCAGTCCACCATTAAAGAACATTGAAATCTTTTTCTATTACTACAATACTTATTTATTGTCATATTATTGTTATTATTATTATTATTATGAATTTAAGATATATTCTAGTGTATTTCAAAGGACGCCATTCCCTTAAAAAAGTGTGCTATCTGAATTTCTTAATTTTGATCGGCTTTCAATATATTTAAATGTCTAATCTTTGTGTATTTTACAACTATTGAAGTGTGACCTAATTTGTTTAAATCTAGCCTGATCTATTTAAGTCCAGTCTAGTGTTTTTTGGGATTGATCACAGTCCAAGTAAAATCATCCTCAATAGTTCTTCAACATATATTCACATGAAATTGAAATAAAAATC